GGTTTTGTCATCTGTGAAATGGGAGATAATAATCCACCTCACTGGGTTCTTGGGGGAATTAATACAAATAAAGCATTTGAAATAGTTGCTTGCACACAAAAACTGCTGTGTAAACCCTGGTTATCATTATTATTATTATTAAAGTATGAGTTCATTGAAGGAAAAGGCTGCACCTCATTTTTATGGATTTCCCTAGGCTTAACAGAGTGCCTATGTTACTCCCAGAATATATTATCATAATTCAGGTGACTTTAATTTGGTTTAATATCAATACTTTAGTCAAAGTGCCCTCTCATCATCTAAGGCTGATGGGTTTTGCCAGGTCTGATTGAAAAAGAATATATGCTGCAGTTTTGGGATACTGCCTTTTTGTCTTCTTATTTTATCAGTTACAGAGGGAAATAGTTTTAAATCTATATGTATGATTGTGAATTTTTCTAGTTTAAACAATTCTTGTTTTATATATTTTAAAGATATATTATTAGATGCGTATACATTTAGAATTGTGTTTTCCTGTTGAACTGACCCTTTTTATCATGAAATGTCACTCTCTATATATCTAGTATTACTCTTTGTCTTAAAGTATACTTTGTCTGTTTGTAACATAGCTGTGCCAGCTTTCCTTTGGTTAGTGTTTGCATGGTATAAGTTTACCATCCTTTGACTTTCACCCTATCTGTGTCCTTAGATTTAATGTGTATCTTACAAGCAGGAATTATTTGGGATAATTTTTAAAATTCACTCTGGCAAGCTTGGTTTTTCAATTATAGTATTTAATCTGCTTACATTTAATGTAATTACTAATATATTTGGGTATAAGTCTACTATTTTGCTTTTCGTCTCTATTAAATCATCTGTTTTTTGTTCCTTTGATGATGCTTTCTTGACTTCTGTTTAATTAGTGAAGTATTTTTTAGCATTCCATTTTGCTTTTTCCGTTAGTTCTTAAACATTTTTGAATTATATTTCTAGTGAATATAAAACATAATTTAATGATTGTAATATGCATCTCATTCCAGACTAAGTATAATTTACCTTAAATTAGTAGTTTCACCACTTCATGAGTAGTTCAAAAACTTCAAAATAGTTTAGCTCCATTTACTTTCCTCCTGCCTTTGTGATATTGTTTTTAATATTTTACATTCACAAATGACACAAACCCTACACGACATGATTGCTGTTGCTGCTTTAAAGAATGTAAAAGATAAAATAAAAATTTATTTTAAATATGGGGGCAAGACAGTGACTCATGTCTGTAACCTCAGCACTTTCAGTGGCCAAGGAGGGAAAAACACTTGAGTTTGGGAGTTCAAGACTTGCCTGGGCAACATAGTGAAACCTCATCTGTACTAAATACTAAAACAAAAAATAAAAATAAAAATAAATTAGTTGGGTGTGGTGATACATGCCTATAGTCCCAGCTACTAGGGAGGCTGAGGCAGGAGGATTGCTTGAGCCTGAGATATTAAAGCTGTAGTGAGTTATGGTCATGCCTCTGCACTCCAGCCTAGGTGACAGAGCAAAACCCTGTCTCAAAAAAACACATATATTATTAATATATAATATATATTACATATACAAAATATATAACATAAATAATATATAAAATTGTGTGTGTGTGTGTGTGTGTATATATCATCCTGGAGAATCTTCTTTTCTTCTGTCAGATATTTGGGGTCATTTTCTTTCAACCTGGAGAACTTACATTAATAATTCTTGTATTGCAGGTCTGCTAATGACAACTTTCCTCAACTTTTAATTGACTGAAAATGTCTTTGTTTTGCTGTAATTTTTGAAAATTATTTTAGAATATAGAATTCTAGACTAGCAGGGTTTTTTTTTTTTCTTTTAGCACTTAAAAATATCATTCCATTGACTTCTGCTTTCTTAATTTTTGTTGAAAAGTTTGCTATTTATCTTAGGGTTGCTCTTTGAAGAAGATTAGTCTGAAGCACATGTTTCTCATATGTCTATATTTTACAACTCCCTCCATCACATAATGTAAGCTACTTAGTGGCAGGCACCATGTGTGACTTGTTCATCAGCAGCATCTAGAATTGTGCCTGGCATGTCTATATTCAAGGCATATTTTTGAAAGCATTTATAAATCAATGAATGAATTGTACATCATGAGCACAAGGCAATGCCCAACACGAAGTAACCACTTACCAAAGAGTGAATAAGTTTAGTCATTGCTCCTGGAGAAGATCTCTACTGTTATTTCTAAGTTCACAATACCATTCAGACTGTTGCGTAGACTTCTAGCTTAAATTAAATTTGACCACTGCATAAACATTATCTTGACCACTTATAGTAGTTTTGAAAAATTCTACTTATATATTATCTTGATAATAACATCTGAAAATATGACATTAGTGATTCTTTTTAAATTATTTATTACATTGAAGATGAGCCAAGCCAAAATGTGTTCTTTTGGAATTAGCTTTCAAATAAAATTTACTTCATAATGTAATCTCCAAAGACTGAAACTTTTTAAGACACAGATATTAAAAGAAGTTTCAGGGGATTTTAATGAAATAAATATGGAGGTCATCCCTGCATCAGTTTTAACAACCATAAGAGCCAGACTTACAGATAGATGAAATTTCTTCTCCTTGTCAAAGGGAAGGAAGACCATGTATTTTAAAACAGATCTGTCTTACAGTTTACTCTCAGCTACTTTTTGCAGCCTCAGGACATTTCATCATCTTGTTGGTTTATAAACAATACAGAATAAACTTAAGTTGCACCTAAGTGGTTACTTTACAACGCAAGAAGCAAGCCATTGAAGTTCAAATGCTTATCCAACCTCTAGTTCTTTGATGACATGATAAAAACAGATAGGCTATGCATTTGTTGGAGAGGACTACTGATGTGCCATATCTGATAAAGGGTGTAGAAAATTATGGAGAAATGAAAAACCTGACCATTTCTTTCTGAGCCATAATATAAAATGTAGCTTCATTTTTTGAATCCTTAAAATGGCAACTGTTTTCAAACATAAGCGTGAAGGGTGCTATAGAGTTCACTACATAGTCTTCGGATAATCCACATCCTGGAACTTATCTAACACTGAGAAGACCTGAGACTTGGCTATCTTAGTATTTTGAAGCATTCATCTGAAACCAAGTTGTCTTAAAAGCAGCAACAGCAATGAATACCTTATTTGTTTATTCGGCAAATAGTTGTTGGTCACCTGTTACGTGCTTAGGTTCTTGGGATGGAGTGGTGAATAAAATAGTCAACATCAAAATGGTCAAGCAACTCACATTCAGTGGGAGAGCCTGAGAAGAGGGACAGAGCATAGGCATGATCAGGAAAGTGCCCTGACCAGGAAAGGGCAGGTTACAAAGCTGGCAAGAATGGAAAGTACAGGAGTCAGCCAGATGATGGTAGGGCAGAAACTGGGGCGGGGGGGTGGAGATGGAGAAGGTGGGCTGGAGATGAAGAACTTGGGAACATTCACAATGAGGCAAGTGATTTTCTAGGAACTAGGAGCATGGAGATAGCAAAACTTTCTGACTATGAACACATTCCCCACCGTAATGGATGCCATCTGAGGCAGACAAGAACCCATAAAGAGAACGGTTCTAGCTCTGTGGAAATTTCTGTCTGGAAATTCCCATGGACCTACTGTTACTGATACTTATTTCTTATAAGCATCTATTAATATGGTAATACCAGCAACTATCTGTTGCATGCTTGCTGTATCAAAGGCATTGCCCTGAGGGTGGTGGAGGCCAACTCATCTCATCCTCTACTAACCTAATGAGGTGAGCACTTTTTTTCCATAAAATAGATGTGGCCAAAAAGCCTTAGGAAGGGTAATTTGCTCAAGTTCACAGAACTAATAAATTGTGGAGCCAAGGTATTAACTTGGGTCTGCCAGATAGCAGAACTATTGTATTTGGTAGAGGTCAAAATATGTGACTAAGTATACAGAATTATTCAACAATTATTTATCCAGTATCTACCATGGCCAGGCACTACACTAAAATCATAGATCCAAGGAAACCTTAAACAGTTTCTGGCCCAATCCTCTCATTTTAGGTGTGAGAAAACTGAGGCTCACAGAAGCTGACAGACTTAATAATATGTCATACTGTCTATGTCAACTATGAATGGGAGAGAAAACATAAAAAGAACAGAAGAAATAATGGATCTGTGGATTTTAATTTTAAAACATTTAAAAGATTGAGGGTATAACTATTCCCTCAAAGTTGCCCCTCTTTTCTCCAGTTAGTCACCCAGAATGAATATGCATTAGAGGAAAGTTTAAATC